TACACAAATATGCAATATTTCCTAAAATATGCACGAAGTTGCCAAAATATGCAAAATGCATTTCTTATTTGGCTTATTTTAATCAAAATTCAGTGGGTCTGTTCTTGTTAAATAAAACTAAAAATATTAATAAAAATTTTTTGCGTTTAATTTTACCTCAGAAATGACGTGTTTTCGGCAAAAATTGGAATAGAAAAGTTGTTTCTCTTGACGAGACCCATTAGTGATTAGAATATTTGCTCGTAATCCGTGAACACTCTGTATAACAAAAAGTAACTTTTAGAGACACCGGACGATGATTTAGAACTGACAATTTCACAAGAAGATTCAGAAATCAAATGCAGTGCTGAAGGTCTTTTTCCTGAACCTAACATGACTTTATACATCACCAATTAGTGAGTGTTGTGGTTTTGACAGTAGTGTGTCTTGTAAAACTGAAATTTGTAGTAATATGACTGAAATAATATACCAAGAAAACGATGAGTCAATCGACCTCGGTGACGATGGTCTTTTTAATGTTTCTTCTGTTCTCGCTTATGATCCTGAAGACTTGACTGAAACTTTTTATTACATATGTGAACTTTCCATACCAGGAACTCCTTTCAGTATGAACGAAACTATGATACACTTTCAGGGTAATTATTATTGCACAAGTGCTTTTTTAACTGCTTCAAAATTACGCTGAAATGCTTTCAAAACTATTTTGGCTTACTATTAAAACCACTAATTTTTGTACATAGACAACAAGATAAAAGCCGAAGAAGATTTCAATTTGTTTAATTCAACCAACTCTACGGATAGTACGTTTGAGGAATCGAAAGGTCGGTGCTAATATTTGCTTGTTTTGTCTTTTATCTCAGTCATGAAAACTTTTTTATGAGTAGTGTTTTCATTTTTTCAAGTACATAGTCCAGTGTATATGGAGTTGGTCTTTGATTGTTGCTTTAAATATTTGTTAATGTCTAATATCAAAATACTACTACTCAAAATTGAATTCGAAGACAAAATAAGACAGTAATCCAAATGAAAACAAATTATTGTTATTTAAATGAATAATACACAATCTTCTGTATAGCATCCTCAGAATCCGTCAATACGGTGAACGGTTTCTTCATTATACATATTTGTTGCCAAGGTAAGCAACATGAGCTAAATTGTGTGCTTTTTAAAAAGAAAAAATAACATTTTTAATACAACTTTTGGGGAAATTTAAGATGATTCACTTTTGAGTAGTTTTGTGATAAAATTACCTATAAAGTATTGGCTATTTAAGTTATCTGTGCAGAAATTGAGACACAAATAGAGGAAGAATATGATTTTAATACAACTACAGCTGAAACTGCTACTAACGCTGATGATGACGACACACGAAAAGAAAAAAATGGTGATAAATTGTGTGCAACTGAATTTTAACACATTTTAGCTTAATACTAATATATTTATTTTCAACATGGTTGCAATACTAACAATCAATATCAGTGATTTTTTTTTAACAATATTGTTTGTTTTTCGAGAGTTTTAAAGTGTGTTTTTTATGCAATTTCAAATTGCTCCTCAACTAATTTAGATTTTTGTTTTTGTTTCAGAAAGTTCATCTCTCAGGCATCTTCCAAGTTTGGTTACAACGTTCTTAACCGTAACATTGCTTAGTCAGTTTTATTTTTAATAGGTTTAGTATAAAATAAATGTGATAACAAACCAAAAATATGTAAAATAATATTGTAAATTGTACATAACTATGTGTGTATAGGGGCGCACGGTTGGTGCCTACAACCTTATTTCTTGTTTTATCTAAAATTAAATATCACAATGGAGAAATTATTTGAATTGTGTTGTACATTCGCGTGTACACGTACAACATCTAATTTATCTTTTGTAAAGCTAGTCTCAAAAATAAAATATTTTTTCACATTTTGTTGTACTTTTTTTACTTTTTTTCAATTTTTCACATACATAACATAAATTGCGATTAACAAATAAGGAGTTTTATTATTATTATCGTCGCCTGCGTTGATTGACAGTAATAAAAAGTCCACGCAATGTCAAAAAAATGGCCGTTGGGGAGCGACGAGTCCGCGCTCTAATGGAATCTGTATACTTTGGTTTGAAACCTTGATAAATTTTTGTCTACAAAAATTTACTTTTGTCTTTTATGGGTTGTATAATTTTTTTTTTGTTGATTGTTATTTATTAAAAAAAATAAATATTTACATTTGGGTTAAATAGTTATTTTTAATCTTTACAAATTTAGAAGAAAATTACAATAACTCTGTATAATTTTTTTTATACTTCGAATAAAAAACACAATAATTAATTTTATTCTCTATTAATTAGTTCTCTATTATTTTCTATTATTTTTTTGCTTTGAGAAAACCCTTTGATAATTTCCCGTAGGTGGATATGTTTAAAGTTTTTTTGGATGGAGCTTCCAAAACTGACTTCTTCTTGCAAAATGGTAAATTCTAGTAAATGAGGCGCGCGTCACGCTCCAAAGGAAACTGTAATTAGTGAAATTTGAAAATTTGCAGAAAATTAAATGTGACAATTATTGACATACAAGGTGATTCACGAGGAATAATGAGCCTGACCAAATTCTCGATACAACCACCATTACTCTTCGCAAGTTATTTTGCGACAACTGTAATGTTGGTTGCATCGAAAATTTGGTCAGGTTCATTATTCCTCGTGAATCACCCTGTATTTAATCAAATATTGATCTGTTACACAACCAATCTGTTTTTTCAGCTTAAGAAGCGCAGTATCAATGGTATCATTGTTTCAGACATCACATTATAATTCTTAAAATTCAAGTATCCAAACTTGCAATGTTCAAAATTGTGGTCAAGGAAAAAAAGAGGATGTTACTTTACATAAATTTCCAAAAAGTATAAATCAAAAGAACTAATGGATTAAGAAAATATTGATATCATCGGCATTATACCTCCAAATTCCGTGATTTGTGTAAAACACTTTGAAGTAACAAGCTATTATAAAAACAAAAAATTGTTACCAAATGCAATTCTATTCTTGATGTTGAATTACTAAAGAGTTACTTGTTTTCAGATCGTTTCTACCACTTCCATTAATTCAGAACTTAAGCCTGCACCGTGTCTACAATCTCCAGATTCATTTGACAAAAATTATATAATTTCAAGTCCCTTTCGATTTGATTTTGATCAACAAAGCGATTTAAAAGTAGGTTATACTCATGATTTCGATTAAAAAAAATGTTCCAGATGCAATAAGTTCGAAAGAAAAATTTGTCTTACTAGATAAAATTTTAAATTAAAAAAAAGTTACAGGAAGCAAATATAAAATTTCAAAAAAAGCTTTACAAAAATAAACTTGAAAAACAAAAGAAAATACAAGAAAAAATTGACAATTACAGTAAAGGACAGTAGTAAAAATTGAGTCAGATGCAAAGAACTTAGAACCAAGGGCTGTGTTTTTACTTGAGCAAACTTATAACCATTCCCTAAAAAACCCAAGATGGTCTGAAGTTGCAGTACGTCATTGTATTGGATCGAGGAACATTTCTCCAAAATGTTATGAATTTGCGAGAAGAAGTCAGTTTTTAAAAGCTCCATCCAAAACAATTTTGAACAGATATGGGAAATTCTCAAGGGGTTTTCTCAAATAGAGAATAATAAAGTATAAAATCACTCCTTGTGATTTTTATTCGAGGTATAGAAGAAATAATAAAGAGTTATTGTAATTATAATGTTCCTGTAAATTTGTAAAGATTAAAAATAACTATCTAACCCAAATGTAAATCTTTATTTTTTTAATAAATAAAATTATATTTGCTTATAAAATGTTATATTTTTTGATGTTTTTGGTCTAGTTCTTGGAAAAAATAACAATCAACAAAAAAATATTATACAACCCATAAAACACAAAAGTAAATTTTTGTATACAAAAATTTATCAAGGTTTCAAACCAAAGTATTCCATGAAAGCGTTCCCAAATGGCCATTTTTTTGACATTGGAAAGACTTTTTATTACTGTCAATCAACGCAGACGACGATTATTACACATACCGGATGAATAAAAAATATGGAATCAAGCGTTTTTTACATAAATTAATTAAGTACTTTTCAAAAAAATTATTAGTGCAATGTAAAGTACTATAAAAAGGTGATCGATTTTTAAGATTTTTTTTTAATTTCTTTTAAATTTCGAGTTTAGCAAAAAATAGTTATTTATTGTAAGTCTCTTTACAGAGTGATTGTGGATAAAAAAAATATCGAGTAGTTTTTTAACGTTGCCATTGAGCTCATCACGAAAATTAAGTTGGAATTATAAAAATAATTTGCAATGTGAAAACAATGGAATTACGATAGTTTATTGCAAGTACTGGAATTTCGTTGGATTTTTTGAGATCACTGAATTACTGGATTTTTTTTTTAATTTTGGTGGAATTTTTCTGGTATTGTACACACTTTTTTCAAGTAAATCATGTCAATTTTCGTATCTTTGTTTATTTATATACATACACAGCATACACTATTCACAAGAGTTATTTTTATGAGTTTGAAAGTTAAATTAACTAGGAATTAAATATTGACATAAATAAATACAATAGATTAAAATGAAACTTAAAAATAAAAATGGCAGATGACATGACACATGATAATCGTTAAACAAGATGGTAATGTAGCAGCTATGGAGAACCCTGAGGAACGTCCTAAATACAGTAGGTAACCAAAAGCAAAACCTGTTCAATAAAACCTCCCCTAATATGAAGTAACTTAATTTTAAAATGCCTTTATACATTTAAAAATATCACTAATGAAAAATATTTTTTCATTACGGCTTCTCTCTAGTAATTGGATTTCCGTGTTCGTCGATTTCTTGCGAAGGTCTTAGCGGCGGCATAAATCCATACTCCAATCTCAAATTTGAGTTGAAATTAGATCGCGGATTTCTGAACTTTGTAGGGCCATCATCGTGCAATCTTGGTGGCAAAAGGCCAATGTAATCATCGGGTTGTATCGTGTAATACAAATTTTTGCCACTGTAACTGCCGTGTTGGTCGCAGTTATGCGAAGGAGGCAAGTAACCGTTGTTTGGTACTTGCAAGAGCAAAGGTTGAGTCAATTCTGCACCACTTTGCAAAAACTGATTCTGTTTCATTTGTTGGCGATTTCTAACAGTCACAGAAATTTTTTGAGACGGTTGTGGTCGTTGCTGATTAACAATTGGCAAAGCTTTAGAAAACTGCAAAGTATAAATTTGCGCAACTGGTACAGGATATGGTCTGTCTATAAAGTGTGGTACTTGTTTTTCGATAAATTGTGGTACTGGAACTTTCTTTTCGACAGGAACTGGAACTTTTACTTCAACAGGTACTCGCACTTCCACTGGATACGGCTGTTTTACAATCTTTTCAACCACTCGCTCAACTGGATATGGTACTGGTGTGGCCACTGGTACTTGCACAGGGTACGGTCGGTCTATATATCTTGTCACTTCAACAGGGACAGGTTGGGGTACATGAACCCGTTTTTCAACTATTTCAGTCACTTTTACCGGCTTTTCAACAATTTTTTCAACAGTCACTGGCACTGGAATATGTTTCTCAATTGGTACTCTTATTTCAACAGGAACAAATCTTGTAACTTGAACCGGTTTTTCTACAACTTTAAGTGGTACATCAGGCGTTGCAACTTTCTGCAGTTGGTTGCCTTGCGCTTGTTGTTGATCAACATCAACAAAGTTTTCTTTAATTGACAGTTCGGGAAGTTGTTGTTGTTGTTTTTGGTGTGAATTCTGCCCGGGTAATGCTAAGAGCGTTTTACCCAATTCAATGTTTTCAACTGCAGTCCCTTCTAAATTTTCAACAGCACTTGCTCCATATTCGTATTTGCCGAGGTAATATGGAACACTCTTTTGAATTTCAACAAGATAGTTTTCTTTCTGAGCAGTGGATTCAATTTTCTCGCTGCTTTGGGAATGTTGCAATTGAGCCACATTTTGGTTACAATCCGGTTTTGTTTGTTGAAGTTGAATTCCCGCTGTGATTGGAGCCAAAAAATTGGTACTGACGGGTCTGGGAGTTACCAAAAGTGTTGAGGGTTCTGTTATACCAAAAGATTTTGTCGATACAGTTTCAATAGTATTGGCTGTTGTTGAAAATATGTTTTCTTTGACTTGTTCGACATTATCGACATCTGCAACCACAATTGGTTCTTGTAGTAAGTTATTTATTCTAACCGAGTCTTTCTCTAGCACATTTCTAAGAGTACTACTTTCGATACTTGTTTCTACACTTTGATCTATAGCTCCATTTATATTTAAAACATCTTGTCCAGATACTAGATTCTTGGTAGTTTCAATGAGCCGTCCTGAAGTTTGTTGAAACTGTCTGTTAATGTTTAATGGTATTCTTCCTAAAAGATTAAGCTGAGAACCAAAACCTCCCAAATTTGAATGTGTTTGTTGCACAATTCGCCGATGATTTCCACTTTCTTTTTCAACTACTAAATTATCTTGTATCTGTTTATCATTTCCAAGACTTTGTTGATGAGAAATTCCTTCTCGAATTTGTATTTGTTCTAATTGAGGCCTAGAATTTTTCTCTTGAAGACTTGGAGACTGTTGGAAGGAAATTTCTTGTTCGCTCAACACTTGTTCCAATTGAGGTAACTCTTGTTGTTGATTTAACTGCGTTTGGCGGTTACTTGCTTCAACAGTAATCGAATCAGTGTTTTCAACTGGTGTTTGTTGCGGTTGCTCTACAACTTGCTGGTTTTGTTGTTCATCTACAAATTGCGGTTGATGTTGTATCACAACTTGTTGAGGTTGCTCTATTAAAACATGTTGTGGCCGTTGGGCTACAACTTGCGGTTGATGTTGTACGATAACTTGTTGAGGTTGCTCGACAACAACTTCTTGAGGCTGTTGTAGCTCTACTCGTTGGTGGTTTTGTTGTGCGATGACTTGTTGAGGTTGCTCAATGACAACTTGAGGTTGTTGTAGCTCTAGTGTTTGGTGGTTTTGTTGTGCGATGACTTGTTGAGGTTGCTCRATGACAACTTGAGGTTGTTGTAGCTCTASTGTWTGGTGGTTTTGTTGTGCGATRACTTGTTGAGGTTGCTCRATRACAACTTGAGGTTGTTGTAGCTCTACTGTATGGKGGTTTTGTTGTGCGATDACTTGTTGAGGTTGCTCGATAACAACTTGASGTTGTTGTAGCTCTACTGTTTGGGGGTTTTGTTGTGCGATGACTTGTTGAGGTTGCTCAATGACAACTTGAGGCTGTTGTAGCTCTACTACTGTTTGGTGGTTTTGTTGTTGGTGATTTTGTGGAACCGCGACTTGTTTTCCGTCTCTGTTGTTAATTTTGCTGTTAATTATATCTGTTACGTGTTGTTTGGCAGGGAGGGAGTTTGGAGTAAACTTTAAAAAATATATATATAAAAATTGTATGGTGACAAAGATGAAAAATGATTACCTTGTTTGACGCTAGAGCTTTTACAGCTTCTACACCCAACAACAGTTGTGTTTTTGTTCGACTGTGAGGTCCCACATTGCTATACTCAATGAAGGGATGATAGCCCCAATCATCAGCATAGTATTGAACGTTTTGAGAAGAATCGACGTTTTGCACATAATATCTTAAAACAAAAAATAAGTACAAAACACACAACAAAATTTATGCAAAATGCAAAAAAACACATTTTTTACTGTAACTAACCTTCCCAGAGCATAAATTCCATCTCTAGTTTCTAATTTTCCATGCGAAGTGCCTTTTTCGTCTTGAATATTGTACCCATATTCGTATTTTGGAGCGTCCTAAAAACAGAAAGAAATTTGATTTATTTTTTTAATAATTTTTTACATTTTGCATACTTTTGCTGCTGAATCTTCTGTTTTTACATAGCCAGGAGGCGCCTCAGCGTTGACTTGTATCAACGTTAATACCAAAAATGATGTATATAAAATCTGCAACAATATTACTATCATAGGAGATCACTTTAGTATAGATTATGTAATAGTAATTTTCCTACGACCCGAAAGTAAGTTTTTCCAACTTAATTTCAAAAAGGAAAGTGACAAATTAAAAAAATAAATGTATAATTTCTCAAGGGGGTAAAAATTCTATCTCCCCCATAGAAACGAGAAATCACTGGAGATACGTGTCTTTTTTTCCCTGAGTGGACAAGTCTCGGACAGTAACTTCCACCTGTGATGAAAAAATACACTTTTCTCCCTTGTTATACAAATAATTATTACGTCATAAATTCGGTAAGTCAAATGTTTAAGAAGAGACAACGAAATGAGTAGTTTATTTCATTGTGTTTCAAGATAATTTGCCAAAACATTGATTAGACGTTTCATTTGCTGTTACTTGGTTAGACTTTGATGCCGTAATAATTCACTTTCCAAACTTAAAATAAAGTCGGAAAGATTAATTTACCGACAGTATGAAATAAAAAAATGTCTCAAACTTAAAATCATATTTTTTTACTAAATGTCTCAAATAATAAAATAGCAAATAGTGAAATGATTTTCACTTTTAACAATGTTGCATCTTACACAAAGACGGGTAATTTAACTATCATCATTGTTTTTTCATGCAATTTCCATACCGTTCACTCATCGAAAGTTTTACAAACTTCACTTTTAATTTTATTACATTCCCACTTTGGACGGCTATACAATCGTTCTCAGTGCTACTTTATTGAAACTAGGTTAACCCAAGCACACTTTTTATGTCGTTAACACTAAAAGTAAACATCAACAATAGAAAAAATTCTACACTTGAATATTTTGTTCAAAGTTGAGATTTTGTTTTAATTGTTCTCATTTTACTAGTTATCTTGAAAGAAATATTTCACTGCTATACCGGATGTAGAAAACCTTCTGAAGTTAAAGAAAAAGTCAACTAATTTGAGTTAGTTGAAGATGAAAGCCAATTACTCTCACAGAAGAAATAGTATCGATTATAATGGCCGTAGAATTAGACTTGAATCTTTTTTTTAAATTTAGTGAAGAACACTTACAGATTAAAAAATAAAACTTTCACATGTTGTAAGATTATATTAATAGATGTATTATAAATTAGTTTGACGTAAAATGACGACTAAGTCGCCATGTGATTTTCAAATGAAAGTATTTCCATTGGCCTACAAATAGAATCATTAACACATTAAGTGAATATAGATGAACGGAAAAGGTAAATCCTAATTTGCCACAAATCATTCAATTCATGTTTTATTCGAAATGAAATTATTAAAAAAAAGACAAATAAGTCAATGACACATGAAATGTTAATTAATCTGATACTAGATCATTAAACTTGTTTTTGAACTTGAACGTAAACACCTTGGCACCGTTTGTTAAGTTGTCATTTCTCTCAGATTCAAACGCACTTTTTTTTCAGTCTTTGTATTGCTCTATATCCGTTTTTTTTTTATTCATGGCATTTAAAAATGAAAAGGTTGTATAAAAATATGAGAATTTTTGAAAAGGAGAAAGTTAATTTGATACAATGTGTTAAAACTTGAAATCTAGCAGCGACCTTCACCCTGAACTTTTCCTTTCAAAGGTGAACTAATTATGAAACTGATAAAACCTAAACCATTTTCCTAAAGAGCAGTTTTGTGCAATAGGTAAGTATTAAATGTCATCAAGAAGCGGCCACCTCGTTGTCTTTGAGACAGATTTTTAAGGTGATAGTTGTTAAACTTTGAGGATACATAATTGGAGCAAATAACAAGAAATACCAGAACACAGAATTGTTCTTATTCTTTAATTAATTCTTTAATAATTAAAAAGCAACTTTGCATATTCTAAATAAGGCAATTTAATTTTTGGTAATATAAATACAGATTATTTTTACTAAAAGTTTACTCAAGACAAAAAAGTAAATCTTTTATCCCTAATAACATAATCTACAATTTTTTTTTAATTCACCAATTATTATATCGAAAAGCGCTCAATAAACTTAAATTTTGTGCTACTTAAAATTCTCCAATATATTTTTTTTAATTCCTACGTCAAATGGTTTACTGATTTTAGTGATTAAACAATAATACAGAAAATACTCTTTCTCAAATTGCCGATTAAATTTAGTTTTTATGACTATGTTTTCTTTATTTTACATAAATAAAATTTCACAAACTAAACACTTGTTTTTAGTCCACGGGGAAAAATATTTTTTTTTATTTTTATGTACCTATTAGCAAATATGATTGAGCATAATGTTTCAAAATTTCAAATAAAAAAAAACTGTTACCTACTAACAAAAATTTGAACAGAATTTTTGAGTAATTAAATAAGTGTTTTTTATTTTTTATTTTTATAAATAATTTTTTTATTGCTTTTGATAAAAGTAGATTATTTTAATTTATTAAATATAACATACAGGGTGCGCCAGCAGTAGCGCCCCAGAAAAAAATGCCATGTAAGGTAATAAGATATCAGGAGCATGAAAAAAATGTTAAAAAAATTTATCTATAAAAATTTTGATTTTATGAGAGTTTAAATTTTCCACTAATTTTCCAAGTTTTTTTGCTACAGGCTATTAGAAGAGGAAACAAGAAAGCTGTATCCTAAATTGTAACTCTGTTTAATGTTATTTGTGGCTTTTATTGAAAAAATTATTGTACCTTTACAATTATAAAAAAAACATACACAAAATCATCAGTATAATTAAATAGACATAAAAAATGTAACAATGTTATAACAGATACAATTTTTTAAACATTTTTTTATGTTTCTGGTATTGTATCTTATTTGAAATTTTTCTCTGGTTCTCTGGTTCTAACACCCTTTATAACGATATAATAATGGTATATTGTTTTTCTAGGATTAAAAGTGTCACTTTTTTAGCGAGTAAATATTGCATTTGCGAAACAAAAACTCACTTTTAAATCGAATAAAACATGCTATTTTTCTCCAACCACAGTCACATAGCACAATTAGAAACAAAATGTATATTGTTTTGTTAAGATTAAAAGTGTCAATTTTTAAGGCTAGGTTAAAAAAAAATTAAGACTAGGATTAAAAGTGAGAATTGCCATAGTACGATTTTTTTTCCTAGTTATGTGTCAGTTTTTAAGGCTAGGTTAAAAAAAAATTAAGACTAGGATTTTAAAAAAATAGTACTTCATAATAATTCATAGTACGAATTTTTTTCCTAGTTATAAAAACGTCAATTTTACATTCCAAATGACATGTGAAAATGAATGGTATTTGTTCTTTTTTTATATATAATATTTTGATGAACAAAAACACGATTAGCCCGTCACACCAAACTTTTATTTTAATATAATATTTTGAAACTAATATTTTACAGTTAATAGTTATTTTTTTCAAAAAGTAGATCACAATAAACAAAATGTAATATCAATCAAAATGTAACCAATTTTCTGAGGATTTTTAATCATATTTATAAAAAAAATTCTTTTTTCTTACACCTGAAATTACTTTACTATTAAAAAAAATATATTGTTTGTTTAGACACAAAACTTGGCAATTTTTGCATGTTTTTAATGTTGTCAAGTTAATTAACATTTTCGAAAAATTGCAACGATTTATATCGTGTAATTACAAAAAAAAATATTTTTTCCCCTTTTTATAAATAAATCAACAATTCAACTTTTGATCAAAGTGGTCTGTGATGTTAAAATAAAGTTGGCAACAGTAAATTGTGATGAAGAGACAAAAAATATGAAAATTGATGTCTCATATCTTATGATTTTATTTTACTCAGTGTCGCCAAATTAATACCAAAATCAGAGCCACTTTAATAGGAAAATTTCACCAAGATTTTAGGGAAATTCAAACACCGAAATTTTGAAGAAAGTTATGAACTTATGATTCACAAAAAAATCCACAAAAATACAATTGGAAAAAAAGACGATTTTTATGTCATTTTAGGTTTTATATCATTTCTATTAATCGAAAAAACAATAAGATAAAGTATATGTAACCTACCTGCGCCGGCAGCAGCATCTCTTGAAAGTTCTCCTCGCAAAGCAAAGAACTATCACTAACTACAGAGCAACTGGAGAGAGATGTGTATGCTCTTCACGACTGATCTCTTTTAGAAATGTATCAGAATTTCATCTGATTCCTTACACAAGTCCTTTCACCTGCCCTGCCCATGTTTTAAACAAGTAATTGCACGCAATACAGGGTTTAACCTGAACCGTATATCAATTTGATAACACGAACAAACTCGTTTTTTGACATTTATGCAAAAATCTTATTTCTGCACAGTGCAGGCGCTCGCCTAGACAGACGCGCTTCCTAATTCGTGATTCTTGCATAATTTAAGTTTTCGAACAAATTTTGATCTCAATTAATACAGAAATCTTGGGTAAAATATCCTCCTCTTGGTATCACACTTTTAATAACTTTACACAGGTAACACAATGATGAATTCCTTTTCGATTTCATAGACCTTCAACTCGAATTTGGTGTCCTTCAAAAGTGAAATGAGATAAAAAAGAGTGAGATGAGTGTGGATGACCAGAACTAGCGCGTCTATAAACAAGCGCGAAAGGAAAGCAGCGATGCGTGTGTTGTCATGAGCGTCTCAACTATTGTTAATTTTTACAAAAAAAAAAAGAGAAAAAACACACTTGCACATGTTTTTCAAAAACTTCAACCTTAACGAACCTAGTTGAAATTTTTTGAAATCAGCATCAATAAAAAATACTTTTTTGTTTTCTCAACCTACATTTGAGACAAAATACTTTGGTTAAGCTTTAATGTTAAAATGAATGACAATTTCAAATTAATGACAGCTATTATATTTTCCTATCAAAAATATGTTCATACAACTTGTCAACTATGATTGACAGTGGCTAAAAATAAGGTTAAAAGTCCTAAAGCATGCTTTACACTCAAGTGACTTTGACGGCCAAAGTATTTTGTCTCCAACTGTACACAATTTTTTTTTATTTTAATTTTCAACATGGTTATCACAAACAAGTTTGTATTACAGCGTTTTCTGTGTGAGTATGTATGCACTACGCCTCTGATTTTGTGACCGCACCCTTCGTAACTTTCTTCGGAAGATAGCTTGCGGCTCGACCTTGTCGCTTTTTTTATTTTAGGACCATTCACTATTGATTACTTACCGAAGAAATTTCATTTTCGACTAGATAATTGGCGTTGAAAAACATTTTCGTTTAAAGGGATTATTTGTAAATACAGGGTTACTATAAATGATTGTAATTCACCTAGTCGCCGTTATACTTAATTGCAACGGCAAAAAATTGACAGTTGTTAAGTTGACGTTTATTTATTTACGAATTGCATTTGCATTTTCTTTCTTGAAAATGACAAAATTACTTATATGATTCTTAAAGTTTAACGGAATGTGTGGAGAATAAATTATTGCGTCATTTCGCCAGAAAATATCCCAATAATAAAACCAACAAAATATTTAATTATATTTAAATATAAATTTCCCATTGACGTTAGAATCATTTATAATAACCCTGTACTTTGTAATTTCAAATTTTCGCTGGATCTAGATTTTCTGTCGAATTTTATTTGTGGTTTTATTTAATGCGTTAAATTAGAAAACATGTTGTATAATGCTCAAGATAACAAAATACTGAAGAGGTGTGGTTTTTTGAACATTATTTGAAATAGCTAAAGGGTATCATCGGTTAACAAAACCCAGAAGTTGTCATCATAAATATTACGTCAAAATAATAATAAATAAAGTGTTTCTACTTTCTCTACTTTATTATGTCTGTCAATGATAAAAAAATCTTATATAAATACGGGAAGGGTGACTCAACACCATTTTTTTGTAGTCGAAAGCTCATTCAATAGCTTTGTATGTTATAAAAAATCAAAAAAAAATCAAGGAATAATTTTATGACAATCTTATATTTTTTATCTATACAATAACTTCAACAGAATTATTTGAAGGCAATAAGAATTTTATCTAAATCCTGGCTTAAACCTAAAACGCATCTTTAGTAAGCCTAAAGTCGTGCTAAAACCATGTCTGAACTGACAAAAGTCCAGAAAAATTTACTAACGATTGGCTCTTCTTTAGGAATTGTAATTTTTTTGTTTTTTTTTTTATTAAAAAAATACAATATTTTTGTAGTTTGAAGGAGCAGTATGGTTTCTAATGTCTTTGGTATGTATAGTCGAGTATTTAATAAGTGATCCCCCTAGTGAGGCAGTGACAACTTATGCAAATTATTACAATTATTTTTTCTACAACCGCTTCCTTAATCGTGAGTAAACTTATTTGAATCATTAATAATAATTCACTTGTGGTTATTTAGGAAAAATAATGACGGAAAATGTGGTCATAAACCCTGACACTTTTCACGCATTTATGTGGATTTATTTGATTTTGAATGCCACTTGGATTGGTCTCTCAGTTTATCAGTTACGTCGTATGACACTAAACAGTGAGAAATTCCACCAAAACTAATCACAATTTTTCTAGTAATTAACATAGACGATTCCAGATTTTTAAATGTGTTAAAATACTGGGAAGTGGACACGATTCTAATTTCTTTTCTTGATCTGTTATTTGTAATACTTCTTGGAGTTGATTATGACAAAACGTGCTTTTCTGGACCAACAAATCTCGAGATTTCTAAAAGAATTCTTTTAGAAGCAGGTTGCACTAATGCTACTATAACAGTGCTGGTTGTGGCCGCCAAAGGATTCATTTTGTGGATTATCAATGTTATTTTTATTTATATTTTCTATGGAATCATCAGAAAAGCGAAAGTTGTAAGTTCTAATCTTAATCCTTTGGAAAAATCTTATCTTGTCGTTTATTCAATGTTATTGCGAAAAACATTTCGTTTCAATAATGTGTTTTGGGAAAATTTCTCAAAAAAGTGACTAAATGCTCGAAAAATGCAAAATAACCTTATGTTAGAACTTAATAATTCTTAAACGTAGGTACTCAACCAAATATAAATATCTCTAAATAAATTAAGTTTTCAAGCAAACAACATGTTTTTAGTCAGTCAATTTAAGCAATCAGGCAAAACAAAGGAAAAAATAAGATTTTTCATTCAAAAACGTGCTTAAATACGCTTGAAAAATGCAAAAGCATATTTTTTACTAAATCAAAAAAATTATTTGATTGGGAAAAAAGTGTTTTTAAAGTTCTCTATACTTAAATGCTTAAAAAAAAACTAAAAAGTAAAAAGATATAAGCGAGTTTTTTATTCAAAAACATCTGTAAACGCTCAAAAAACATTATTTTTAACAAAAATGGGTGATTTTTGGCAACTTTTTGCAAAGTAATAGTTTTTTTCAAGAGTAAGATAAACAATCTTTATCGTCGTGTATAATAAGTATTTCGTTTTATTTTGTACTCACCTACCAGAATTTCTTGAATATAAACAAACAATAGATAAAAATTACTTTATTTCACTAGACGATAAAAGACTACTTTATCTACTGAAATTAGTTGATAAAAGCACTCTTTAACATGAGTACAAAATAAATAAATTTGTAACTTAAAAACATAAAAACCTTTGAAAGAGAGAAAATTTTTCACGTAAATTCCTGATTTCTGGATTCGTTTGAATAAAATTACGCAAAATGTGAGATTTTTAGTACAAAAACGTGTTTAAAAAAGATCAAAAAAAAAAAACAAAATAAGCTCACGAACTTTAAGATTTTAACATCTGATTTAACAAAATCTCAAAAAATAAGTTAATTTTTGAGTTTGTCAAGTTTAAATGCTCGAAAAATAAAACAATAATCTTATTATCGATCTAAATTTGTAATTTTTTGTCAATTCTAGCAAAATCTTGTAAAATAAGTAAGTTTGTAGTAAATAAAAGTCGGTTTTTTGTCCAAAAACGTGTTTACACACTAAAAAAACGACCAAATTAGAAGCTATCTCGAAAAATAACTTGTTTTTTAACGATAAAGAATCAAGTTTTCTTGTGTTTCAATACTCGAAATGGGTAAAAATGTCATTTTTATTCTCATTAAGTTTGCAATAATTAAAGAAACAGAAGTTTTCTAAATTGCAACTGATTCTAATTTTTATCATTAAGTAGGTCACAAATTTAAAATCTTAATTTGGCAACATTGTCTCTCAAATTCAAATCTCAATTGTATTTACAGTATTCATTTTTGCCAACTTAAGTTCATATTCGTAGCCTACATTGATCAGAAATATGTATTTACGAGTACATAAAAAATTATAAAATTTTATTTCAACTTTTCACAAATTTTTCGATAATTAGTGGTTCTTTTACAACGTTTCAGAAATAAAAAAATCTAATTATTCTCTCTGTTTTAGGAAATGAAACGAAATCGTGAGTTTTTGTAAGTTTTTAATAATGTAAAACAATCGGTAAAAATCTTTTTTTTCAGAAAAGTTCCACAAATCCCTCGACCAACTTTGAGCAGATCTCCAGACAAAATGAATAATAATCTCGACAAAAACTACTGGAACACAAATTCACCAAATTTCAATTATAATAAAAAACCCAATCAACAGCGTTTCTCGACTGTCTATTAAAAAATATTTTATTTATAACTGTTACATCTATTTTACTATCTGTGTTATCAATGATCACTTATCAGTATTGTACTTGACATTGAATTAGATTTATTCCAAAATTATAATATAATAAATATTTATGGCATTTCTACATTGTTCTTATGTTTTAATTATTATTTTTCATTTACCTACTTTTAAATTATTTCATTTTTATTGACAAAAATTATTATTTTTAGGTTTTATTTTCCAATCTCAGTTTTAATCATCACGTTATCAGCCGCTAATAGTAAAAAAAATTTAAAGAATCAATCAATGTTTATCTATTATTGATCGCAAACATGGCAATCATCACCCAAGAGCAAATTACTCTGGGAAAAACAGCCTCATTTTTGGGCATTGTGAGTAAAATTTTCTAATTTTTTTAACTTAATTTTTTTTTCAGGTTCAAGGTTTGGCATGGTTCATTATGTCACTGTTGTGCATAATTGAATACAGCATAAACACACCTCCTGACACACCTGAAACGTACACTGAAAAGTTTAACGCACGGATTTATTATTTTTTCTTATACAGTAAGTAACATAAAAATTTGACAATTTTTATTTTAAATTTTTTAGAGGATGCCAACCTTCCACGCAATGTGATCATAAAACCGACAGCTTTTTTGGTCTTTATGTGTTTTTACATCGTTTTGAGTACCGTTTGGGTTATCGCATCGTGGTGCCAACTTAACGGTAGAATTTTTTATTTTTTTTCTGATTGACATTTAATTTTTCCAGTGTTGAAAAAACGTAGTTTAAATGTCCCAATTCTACTAAAAGACTGGGCTATTATCACACTATTGATATCATTCGTCGATATGATTTTCGTGATTTTGCTCGGGTGTGATTATGGTCAAAACTGCCTCTATTATTTTGATGAAGAAATCTGTATTAATACATTTATCCTCGTTTTGGTGATAGCAGCTCGAGGGTTTGTTCTATGGTTTGTCAACGTGTTTGTCGCGTGGAGGGCCTTCAAAAATGCCAAAATTTTACGAAAGGTAAATTTTTAGCCCAAAAAAAGTAGCCTGAAATTTTAAATTTAATTGGTTGGCAATACTGAAAAACGAGATTATTAGTCAGTGTTGCCAATCTTATTTCAAAAACGCAAGCCACTTTGATTAGAAATTGAACTGATTATTTTTTATTAGGATGGTCCATATGCGAATACCTTCGGAGGAATAATTCCGTAAGTTTTTAATTTTTTTTTTTGGAAATTTTTAATTCGCTTTTAGTATTTACAAATCGGAGGCTCGGATTCCTAGAGTAGCAATGCCCACTACCCCCAGTTTATACAACCAACAATTCGGGAATGTAAGTAAAGAAAGAAACTTTTGGAACGTGAATTTGAGAACTGCGATGGATAATAGGACGCCCCCTGTGTCCCCCACGACGCCTTATTACAATAAACAGCCGTTTTTTACGAGATAAATTTTCACAATTGTAAATTAATCTTAGATAAGTTAAGTGTTATTCGAGGAATAAAACTAATTTATCTAAATTTTATTTTAAAATGACTGAAACAAATTGACAAAATGTCATTTTCAAATTTAACGCCACATTAACGCAATCAATTATCAACAATCTCAACAAATATCAAGTAAAACCATTAATTTGGGGCAAGTTTGTGCACTCGTGGCGTGTTTGAGTCTCGCTGTAGAACTCCGGAATCGGATTTCCAGTCAAAAAAGCAACTCCGGGATTACATCACAAAAAAAAAAAACAAGTTATCTAGCTTCGTCGCGGCCTACTTATTTGAGACGCGCAAAGGATAACTTGCTTACTTTACCCAACAAAAGTCTTGATAATGAATGCACAAAACTGGGTGCATCTGCGATTTTGTTAACGCTTGAAGCCATGTTGGCACAAAGCATCTCTAACAAAAAATTGGTGATTTCGGGGCTCGTAAACTCCTCACGGGGGATTCCCTCGTCCGAATCCTCACTCTGCTGTAATCAAAAAATTACATGAATTGAAAAGTTTGCAACAAGGTTATTACACCGAGACAGGCCCTAATAACCAGGGAGTCCGACTTACAACGTCCGCATTGACACGTGATGAAATTCCCTGAACTTTGATTGCTAATAGCGTGGTGGCAGCACTGATGACACATCGGGATATCTCGGCTGTTGTCGTTGGCGCCGACTAGGCGACACTGTTGGTAATATCGGTACCTACTGTATCGCCGCCGCCGCCAACTACCACAATTTCCATTCTACGTCACCGTTCCGTCGATTTGGGTGTAGAAAATGGGGGCTGTTTCGCACTGAAGGAACGCCCCCACGACTTTTTGGGGCTCAATTGTTGGAATCCTGCCTTGGACGTCGCTCCTGCGTCGCTAACAAGGGGTTTTTTGCACCGGACAAATTGAAACACGCTCAATACTCAAAAGAATAACACTACGGTTTTATTTGAGAAATGATAATCAACAAAAAGGTTTATAAAAATAAATACAACATGTGAGAGTTTATGTCACAAACATTAAAATCATTTATTTTGATAATGTAAAACTAAAGAAACACATGTATATAATAATTCTAATCTATTCTTTAGTCTTCTTTGCAAGTGCAACATTACTTAAATTCGGTCTATCCTATACCATATGAAAATCAAATTTTTTACTTTATATTTTACAGTAATAAATAGAGAATATAATGCAAATACATGTTAGACAGCATGTCTCACAGTGAAACCGCTTGGTCCATTTTTTTATTTATAAAGTTATTTGTTGTTAAATAACTGTTCACACACCACGCACTAAGACGTTTAATCCGCAGCCTTCGCATCACTTGATGCGTTTTCGGCCGACGAATTGCTTACTGCTGTAGCATCAGCATCTACAAAAGAACCAGGAATGGCAAGATTTTAAGAAGAAACGTGCAATGATATCGCAATATCTCAAAAAACTATATACAAAAATAAAAAGCACATCCGTTCCTCACACACAATCACCTTATTTGTTGCTTCTTTTCATTTTTCACTTAACATATTCTTAGAGTATTCTACATAACAAAAGATTAAAAAATACAGTGGACACAAATGATATCACGATATCGTGTCTACATTACGAATTACCTACTTTTGCTAGTACTCGGAGTGCTATTGCGCGAGTTTGTTGACCCTGTAGACGACGAAGGACTCCCTTCTTTGCTCGTGGTGGCCGCCTTAGCCGGCTGTGGAATTATCGTTATTTCATCATTGATCTTCAACGGTTTCATCATTTGATCATTTTTGCTCGAATTCTTCTTATCCATGACACGTTTCGCCACCACACTATGTGCCGAATAAACATGATTCTCAAATTGCTTATACATGCCAAAGGTGGCCGTGCACACTGTACACTTGTACGAAAGATGCGCAGGCTTCAAAGTCATATTATGATCGCGGGCAACGTGATTCAACAATTTCCATTGATAAACCTACAAACAATAGAGTTTAAGACACTCACATTTCGCTCGTTCGTGTTGTAACTTACCCGTCCGCATACAGGACACCGTCCAGCATCTTTACTCTTATTGGCAGCGTCTTGCATACTTGATGTCACCAAACCGTGTGATCCTAAAAGATGCCTTTCCAATCCTTGATCGGTGAAAAATCTAAATTGGCACTTTTGGCAGTTTAGAGGCGGCCGATTATAAATCATTTTCGGATGTATTTTAACTTTGTGTATCCATTGCATGTGATTTCTCAATTGTTCTAAATCTTTTATGTAACCATCACAGATCTCACAAATAACGAACGAATTCTTTGAGTTCGTATCACCAGGCTTGGATGTTAGATTCGAATTGGGCGAGGCCGATGCACGAGGTAGTGGTGTTATCGAAATGCTTGGCTGATGGACAGACTTATTCTTTGATTGGTTCTGCTAGAATTACACAAAACAACAATTATAAAATTGTTACAACATTATTTTACAATTTAGCAAATAATAAACAAGAATGCAATGTGTTATTGTACAGGTAAGAAAAAAAAAACAAAAACAAAGCTGAGCTTCGGATTAGCTTTTTTTTTGGTGTGAGAGGGTATCTGGCATACCTGAATGGTGACTGTGCTAGAGGCGGAAGGTATGTTGGGGACAAAAGCCATACCAGGATGACCTAGTCGACCACCCAACTCCTGTCCACCCACCACCTAACACACATTCTAGCTTACTTATAAACACACTACTCAGTTTTTTAAACTACAGTGCGTTCAATGGCTTAAAGCGAGCTAAAGCAAAGTTCAAAACCAGCTTTATAGTTTTTTTTTTTTTAAGAACGAAGCGTTGCGGGAAATAGGGACTAAAATTGGCAAATCAGGTTACTCTATTTTGCACCACGTGACAAGCTTTATTTACATTAAATATAATTACCAAATAATTTTTAAAAATCTCTAATTTTTGACATTATTTTTGAAATATGTCATAATTTTTTTTAGATAAAGTGTCGTTTGTTGTACGATTTCAGCATTTTGGTGTAGCATAATGGCAGAACAACAACCTGGTTCTTTTGTAAAAAAAAATTCCGGGGGAAATCCAGTTAGTAGTGGTCAGAAAATAATGATACATAATATCTACGCGAAATTTATTTTTTTATTTATTTTTCTTGAGTGGGTATTAGAAACAGGAGATGTTTCCAACGAGAACGATGTCTTTACTGATTAGGTAAGTACCTAATTCAAATTTTTCCACTGAAAAGTTGTGGATTATTACCTTCGACCACTTCTAATGAATGCAAGTTTTCATTGCATTTGTAACAAAGGATTAGGTTGTTGTTTAGCTATTATGAATTCCAAAAGAAAATTTAAGAGTCCTTTTTTATGTTCTTGTTTTATTTTTAAGTAAACGTAAGATTCATCGAATGTTGTTCTTGTTCTTAATTGAATTTGTCTGCTGATGCATCGACCTAGTTCGTTCTAAAAAAAAACACACTATAGTATCAAAGTTTCAACCCTTTCTTTTCGAAATTATTTGTATTCTACTCAATTTTATTATTATGAATTATGAACACTCACTTTAGCTCACTTTTGATATTTTCTCCGCCAAAAGCAAAGGAAATATCCACGTTTGAGTCATGAAATAAAAAAAAAAAGATTACGCAAACCGTAATCACCTGATACACCTGATTTCCGCTGACTTGATAATTAGTCGGCACCAAAACCGATCCCCCGCTCATCGTCTGTTTATAAACCATTCCGGAAGGCTTGATCATCGATTGTTTAATCGGTGCACCCAATGAGGGTCTTCCTCTACCCCGATGTAAGGCTTGCGACGACGACGTTGACGAATTCGCATTCAACAATTGCATCTTTGATAAGAATTGCAATTGTGATGATTTCATCGCTTGATATGCGGACACATTAATTCCCTGACGGGCCTTAGGCACTCTCGGTATTTTCGCCGGTGGTTCCCAATCGATGGGCGCATCCAAATTCCTCTCCGGTTTGAATTTACGCATGCACGCCACCAGATGACGCGATAATTTACCCTTTTGATTGTCCTCGAATGGACAATTGGGACATTGGTGGAACGAAGGGGCGCGTTCGAGACGACCACGAACAGCATGTTCCGCCTCCATGTGAAAAAGAATGTCATGGGGGCTACGAGCCTAAAAACGAATTTTTCATCAAAAATTATAAAGAAAATTACAAATTTACCTCATAAGTACAAAAATTGCACTTGTAAACATAATTCTTCGTATGTGGTGTTTCCAAATGGTGTGCCATAACCAATTGTGATTCCGTTTTGAAATTACAAAATTCACATTTCTTCAACGTTGTCCTAAACGGTTCATTATTCTCCTTTGTAAATTCGAGATTTTTCATCAACGAGTGAATTGTTTTATTGGTTGTTGGATTTTGACCACCTTCTCGGTCTCGTTTCTTCTTTTGCTGTCTTAACATATCGGCTTGAACAAATTCCTGAACTAGATTAAAGCCAATATCGATGAAAAATTTTCCTAGTGGACTGTCAAAATACGAATAAGTTTTCTTCAAAGGATCTAATACATCGTCATCTTTGTCATCTTTCGCTTCATCATTGTCAGATTTCTCCTTTTCATCGTCTTTGTTTTCCGTTATTTTATCGGCGATTTCTTTGAGAAAGTCTTTAAAATCGGAAACTGGCGGTTTTTCGTATACATAAGGTACGATAAAAGAGGGCGCTTCAACAACGAACATATCATCGGTTAAAGTTGGTAATACTGGCGCTAAAGCCGCTGGATTTATACACGTCGAAGATGATGGTGCTTTTGTCAGGGGAGGAGGTGGAGGTGTGGTTGATGCTGAGGAGGAATTTAAAGGGATTGGAGTGATGGTTGCTCTCATATTTGGAGGATACATACCTTGGGCGGGAAGGGCCATTGGGAGTAAAGTCGGATATTGACTGGACGAAGACGAGGATTTGTTATTGACAGGGACCGGCCCTCGACCTGATAAAATCGAATTCGTATCTATAATCACCAAAGTTGGTTCTTTTTTGTTACCCGAATTATTCGAGTTACTTTTAGCCGCAATTTCAACCAATCGTTTTGTGTCTTTAACGACAATCGTCGATGAATTGGAGTGTTTTGATCGTTTCACTTCGATTTTATCATTAGACATTGCAAGAGGATCCTGAGGTAACACCTCTTCAATATCTGACTCTTCTGACGAATGCGAATGTGTTAAATGATCGTCCTTTTCACTCTCAACATAACTCTTCGTCTTATTCATATTCCTTACACTTCTTCTTGGTGGTAAAATCGTCAAATCTTTGTGTTTTTTAATCGGTGTTGTATCCAATTCAATCACTTCCAATTCATTCTTTTCCAAGGAACCATTTTCTTTGGGTTCTTCGATGATCATGACATCACCATCACCCTCACCTTCACCCGAATCGTTCAATTCAATTGGTTCGTCGTCTTTTTCTAAACCATTTTTCACACTATCGTCATCATCGTCGATGATTTCGTGTACCTCTTCATCGGCGCTTTTTCCATTTGCCATATCACTGGTTTTAGAGTCACTATCGCTCTTAACACTATCACCGTCATCATCGTCTTTTTCCGTTTCACCTTCATCCGGTTCCGTATTGTCATCTTTTTCGCTCTTGTTGGTGTTGTCCGGTGGCGACTCGATTTGTTCATCTACATCCATTGAATCCGTATCGTCGGTGGTTTGACCCTTTTTGATGCTACTTTGGCTATTCTCATCATCGTTGCCATTTTCCACTTCCGATATCTCCCCGTTTAAGATTTGATCGTCTGGAACTACACCACAATTTAATAACAATTCATAATTTTGACGAAAATTACCTTCTTCTTCTTCTTTTGAATGCATTTCTTCAATTTCACCCATTTCAGCTTCTGCTGCCATCTCCATTTATGCACCTAGAATAAAATTAAGTGAAAAATTTGCAAGGGTTAAAGGGAGAATTGTTGAGTTTAAATCGTTCTTGTCAAGTGGGCTGCAAAAGGTTATCGCATTTCGATTAATTTCAACGAGATTGAAATAATTATGTTACAATTGCCCCTTTTTCACGTCTACTTCAACTAAAAATCTACCAACATTTAATTTGAAAAATCACCATTTTTATTTGATTTTAATCCAATTTTGCCATGACAGGAAAATTCACAATTTTAATTAAGTATAGTGAAATTTTAAAAAAGCAATTTGTTAGTTTTTCTGGTTTGAAGGGTGTTCCATTATTGTAAAATAATGTACATCTGAGTTATTTATTTTCTTTTTAAACATTAGCCAAACCTCAAAATAGCTGGATTTTTCATAAATAAGAACAATTGGCAATAATGTTTTCATTAATTTATTAAAAAACAAAGCTTTAGTTAAAAGTGTAACAAAAAATGGCATTTCTACCAACTTTTAATCACAAAATTCATTATTTTTAGCAAATCCATAATCTGAAATTAATTTTATTATGACAAGAAAGTTGGTTAAATTAAAAATAATAAAAAATCATTAATATTTTGGAACATACTGTATTTAATTCAATAAACACCAACTGTTGTAAAACTTCCCATAACAAAATGGCGCCCATTTCCTTATTTTACATTATTTTTCAATAAATTCACATTTTTTCAAAACCATTATCAAAAATAAACAATTCAAAGTTTGATTTGCATAAATCCATGCTTGTTGACCATTTTATAGAAAAAAAGAATGCCATAACAATGTTATCATTTTATCAAAACTAGCCAAAATAATTAAGATTAAAAACATGTTTAATCAATTTGATCATCCATCAATAACGTGTAAATCAAATTCAAATTCGGACCAACCTTACATAATGCCAACCAAATAAAAAAAAAATCTAAATGGCAATACCTATTAATAGAATACACACGAATTTGTTTTGTTTTTGCCTGAAATTAGGACACGATAAAAGCCAGCCTTTCCCTCCAAATGGGGTCACTTTCACTGCCATTTCGGCCTTAGAAAATTTTGAAGCGTGTTGCGAACCCCACCACCGAGATAACAACAACCAATGCTGCCAACGACGCTATGGAATGGAAAATTTCGCAGTGGGCCCCCCGACCCTCCACATAACCTAAACCTCGGGGCGAAGCCCCCCACAAATTCCATCGGGATGTTTACCATAGACGCGAATTATCCTTCAGATTCCCGCCATCGTCCATCGACCACCACAACGACCATCTGCACCGCCGCCAATGGATGTGTTGTCTGTGTGTGTCTGTCACACTCGTAAATACCCGAACAAAATCCTTTGACAACCCGCGATTTTCAAATCCGCCGACACACAAACACGAGAAAACGACACACCGAAAGTCAAAAATTTCAATTTCTTTTAAAATTCGTCCATTGTATTTGTATAAAAAACACGAGAGAACAACAAAACTCACGTCACTAACCCCTAGCACTGCACTAAACTGCCAATATGGCGTCTAACGGTAAGTCACGTGATCGAAAATAGTGACGTAGCCGATCTTGTCTTAAAATTTTTTCATTACGTAAGCACCGATACGAATTTACAACAAATTCAATTCGCATCATTTACAACCCCAAAACCATCCCTTGAAACATACTAAATTTAAAAACACAATTTGGCTGGTTTTGAACGCGCGCCATTAACTTCCAACAATTGTTGCTAGGGCAACGATTCAATTGTTTAAACAATCCCTGATTTGAAAAAGGGCGCGAGGGTGGAAAAAATTATGACCGTGATGTGCATCCTTACCCCGCCCGATAGCGGACTTACACCGGGACACCCCCCTTTCTAAAAATGGTTGCGCCCAAACCTCATTTTGTTCATGTATACTCCATATCTAATAAATTTTTCTTAACGCACACCCGATGGTATCTCATTTCGGCGCTTTCTAATAAATATTACAAAATTAATTGCCAAATAATCTTATTTGGCGAATTTTTTTCTAATCTAGCCGGCTAAAGAAAAACATTCAATGGGCACTTGATTTGACGCTCAACAGTATCGATTTTCCAACAGTTTTAATACTTACGGAAAAATGCGAATCTATTTTTTTTTTTCTTTAATCAATCGTCGTCTTCCTCTTCGTCGAAAGACAGTAAAGTCTTGGATTTGACTTTTTTCACGTTCGTGATGGTTTTGGATGGCTGATCTTCGGTCTTCTTTTTTGGTGCTTTGAAAAAAATGCGCGTATTTAAATCGGCCGGAGTTTCTTCGGCTTCTGGAACAAAAATCGCATTTTTTTGTAATTCTGTTTTATTTGAATGGTTTTAAAAGCCGTCGAAAAGGGCGCTTCTGCCGGTGACGGCATCTCAGCCACAGGTTATTGCTCTTTTGGTAAGTAAAAGTTAAAGCTTGAGGTGTCGGCGTTTGGCGCACTCTGAATTTATTTAGATGAACATTTGGGAAATTGCGCGATTTTCATGTCTAAAATAATTGACTGAAAACGAGTTTTTGAGTTGAAACAAAAGCCACACAAAAAATTACAACTATTATATCGTGTCCAAAAAGGCGTCAAAAGACAATTCAATTTTTTTAATAAAATGGCCTGTGATTCTGAAATAAAGTTGGCAACATTGAATAGAGACAGAAAATATGAAAATTGATGTTTCATATCTTCTGTCTCTATTTTACTCAATGTTACCAACTTAATATCAAAATCAAGGCCACTTTGCTAGAACTTTTTTCCAAATGTCACAAATAGATTTTCAACCACTCGAAATTTTGAAGAAACTTGTGGTTTTTGCTTTAAGAGGGCGGCTTTTCGCATTTTTAGAAACAAATGGATTATAAATCACAAAGAAATCCACATTTTTATCGAATATTATCAAAAAAAAAACAACCAAAACCGGCGAAGTAATTTTCAGAAATAAAAAAAATGTTTACGCATTTATTTTATTTGCGATTTTTTATAATTTATAGTTTACAAATAAAGTTGGCAACATTGAATAAAACAGAAGATTTAAAAATTAACAAGTTTCATATCTTCTGATTCTATTTTACTCAATGTTGTCAACAATACCAAAATCAAAGCCACATTGATAGAATTTTTTTTCCAAATGTCACAAATAGAAATTCAAACACTCGAAATTTTGAGGACACTTGTGATTTTTGCTTAAAGAAGGCGATTTTTCTCATTTTTTAGAAACCAATTTATTATAAATCACAAAAAAATCCACATTTTTATCGAAGATTTCAAAAAAGAAAACCGGCGACGTAATTTTCAGAATAAAAAAAAGTTTTTCAAGCATTTATTTTATTTGTTCTTTTTTATAATCATAAAGATTTTTTTCCAAAAAGGCGTAATTTACAAATTCACAAAATTTTAATCAATTAAAAGACAATCTTTGATCAAAGTAACCTGTGATTTTGAAATAAAGTTGGCAACATTGAATAAGACAAAAGATTTAAAAATTAACAAGTCTCGTATCTTCTGATTCTATTTTACTCAATGTTGTCAACTTAATACCAAAATCAAGGCCATTTTGATAGAAAAATTTCACCAAGGTGTCATGAAAATTCAAATTTTGCATAAACTTGTAATGTTTGCTTTAAGAGGGTGATTTTTCGCAGTTTTGAGAGACAAATGTATTATAAATAACAAAAAAAAATCCTATTTATATCAACTTTTATAAAAAAAAAAAAACAAAAACAAAAAACGACAATATAATTTTGAGAAATGCTTAAAACAATAATTTTATTTGCTCCTTTCTATTTTAATAAAGAATTTTGAAGTTAATATTTTACAGTTTAATTTTTTCAAAAGTGGGTCACAATACACAAAATGAAATATCAAAATTTAACCAATTTTCTGAGCGTTTTTGGTTTACTTTTGAATTAATAATCATATTTAAAAATAAAATACTCTACTTTTATACTTGAAATTACTTTATTATAAAAAAAAAATCAATGCTTTGTTTGTTTGGAGATGAAACTTGTCAATTTTCTCCATATTTTTCAATCTTGCCAACTTAATATCACTTATACTTATTATACGATACCGATTTCCTGAAACACTCTAAAAATCAATTTCCACGCAATTAAGTGTTTGCTACTGTTCCCGTGTATTTTCTTAAGTATGACAGATCCCCTATAAACACGTTAACGTGAAAACATTGTAAAATTCACACCTACAACAAAAATTTCTCAAAATAAAAACTTCAATTCTATTCACGTCAACGTGGAAATAAACCCTCTTAAAAAAATTGCAAACTGAGCAAGACATGTTTGTTTTGATCAATTTTCGTGTTTTTTTTCACTTTTTTACGTAATGTATCGTAATAAAGGATGAGATTCAAATTTTTATCTCCATTTCATCGACTTTCACTACCTAACAAGCAAATGCATGAGGGTAGAGATGAGAAATTTCTAAACTAACTTAATCATTTATTTTAATAAATCAAATTAGAATTTTTAAATCCTTAGAATTCACGTTTCACCTTTGGAACATTATTTCCCTTCAAATCCGCTCCTACTTAGTTTTTTCTGATTAAATCTGTTGTTTCTTCGGCAGGTGTTTGAGTCGGATGGTTTTATTCTACGATTTGCCATATGGCGGATGTGGAAGGAAATCAGCTTATTGTCGAATGTGTTTTTCCACAACAAAATTAAAATTACTCGCACATTTTTTTACATATCGTTAGATTTGGAAAATGATGTATTCCGTTAGGTGTGAATGTAACGACAGCTCCTAATGAACATTAGAGATTGTAAATCTGACAACGCTGAAATCTTCTGTAATACTAAATAATGGCAAACTTGGAAATTTCTTTAAAATTCAGCTTCCGCAAACAATTTTTTTTTCAGTGTTCAAACAATTGGAAACACTTATTTTTTATTTAATTTCAAAGTGAGTACAGTTTTGCCATTTAACGTGACATACGAGTACAATAACTTCTTATCTTAGTTAACAATAATTAAAACGACTTGTTAGACGAAGATATGTTAACACCAGACTTCGTTAAACAGATAAAGAGAGAAAAGAAAACTGCACAAAAATTCATTTATATTTGTTTTATGCCTCGCTCAGCTTCGCCTCGAGCGAGAAATTTTATTAAAAATTATTTAAAACCACCATTAGACAAAGATACGTTAATGCCACATTTCCTTAGATAAATAAAGATAATAAAAGAGAAGAAAAGAAAAAAAAAAGAATAAAAAATCTGACGATTTCAGGAGTAGGCTGTGAGTCAAAAATTAAGTTGGCAACTTTGAAAGTCAAATTTCACATTTCCTGTTACTTTATGCCAATGTTTCGATAAAAATAATCTGATTTTGAAATTTGGTTGGCAATAAAGAATAAAAAAATTCTTGTCTACAACATCACTTTAAGATTCCAAAATGTTTCCAGTTTCCAGACAGATTCAGAAATTAAATGGGTATATCTTTCACTGTTGCCAACTTAACTTCAGAATCATAAGCCATAAAAAATATATAATAAAAAAAAAGCTTTTTAATTTTATTTTTAAACCGATTTACTTGAAATTTTGAGCTATTTACGGGTTTTTCTCGGGATTGTCGATTAATTAAGAAAATCGATACTTCCCAAATTCCTCTAATAAGCACGTTTTTTCCTTCTTTAAAGACATTTCGCCACAATTAAACCCATTTGCGAAGGTGGGAGGAAGTAAAATACATCCTGAGATAAAATTATTGATTTTGAAAGTTTTCAACGCAAATCTAAATAAAAAAAGGGCACAAAAAATTCGCTACATCGAGTTTAATTCCGATAAAGGGAACGAATAGCACCCTCGAGACAACCACAACCCTTCCACAAAATTCCATTTTGTTTGTGAAAATTTTTCTATATTTTTTGGTGACAACAATAAAACCACTGCAATATTTATCAAGATAAAAATCAATAAGTGGGATTTTAAGGGTTGAATTTTAAGAGGCGTTACAGAACCATCGGTAAATCAATATCGTCGTTATTGATCTAATTTTGTCAAAAAAAAATGTAAATAACTCGGAGCAATAGAGCGAAAAGTTGGTCAAAAAATCGGTACAAATAAAAAACGATAAAAATAACGGACAATAAATGATTTTCTCTTAAAAATATTAATTAATATTTTTTTAACGTGTGAAGCAACAATATTTTATCGAGTTGGTCGGGAGAACCGAGCAAAATACCGTTTCATATAATAGACCAAACCATTTTCACGAAAAGGGGAGTAGCATCCTTTCCAAAGTCTTATTACAAGCTAAAACGGTCACGTGTTCTGAAAAAATCCGTCCTTGTCTGTTCTACCGCCGCCACATACGTGCATCTCTCTCACCCCGTCCGACGTGGTAAAAAAACCACCGGACACTTCGCCTCCACCAAACAACGAAATTTCCATGAAAAAAGCAGCCCCCGAGTCGCAGAACAGCCCCAAAACCCCCTTCTGCTCCATTGGAGCGTCTCAGTATTTTCAAATCGTGAAAATTCGCGCTTTTTGCTTTGGCGCCAATCGAAAACGTCCGAAAATCTCCGGAGTCGGCCGACATAACCTCACTTCAATCACGCGAAAAATCACTTTTGGGGCTTTTGCCACTCACCTTTTTCCAGTTTCAAGGCCTCTTCGGCAGTGAGATCGCCCTCGTTGAGCACCACGACGGTGGGGCGCTCGTCCTCGCAGTCCCGGTCCTCGGCGGGGCCCAGTTGCTCTTTCTACACAAGGGGGTTATTGCGAGTGGTGCGTGGGGGCGCACGTACCTTGGTTTCGACAGTGGGGCCCTCCTGGTAGCCGGCTTGCTTTTTGAGCTTCTTGAGGAATTCGGGTTCTTCTGGTTTCGTAAAGGTTATGTTCCTCTTGGACATCGCGTCATCCGTGCCCAATTCGGAACCAGTGGGGCCACTACAATAAACTAAAAGTTGATGTTTTAAAAAGTTTTTGCCGTACGACGACGGTTTCGCCCTTCTCTCGATGGTTTATTTTCTACTTCCATCCCATTTTGCTTTTTCTTGGAAAATTTACGTAGGCGAAAATTTAAATGGGGCCGAAGGCTCTTATCGCGACCTTTGGGTGAACCCAACTGGTCACGTGGGGGTTTTCACGGTTTTGGGAATATGCCATTTTTCCACTTTTTATAATTTAGCAAACTTTTATTCTTAAATAAATGAGTTATAATCTTAATTTCATATTATTGTAATTTGTTGAGAAAGGAATTAATTAGCAACGAAAAAAATTAAAAAAAAAATTTTTCGAAGAACATTTTTCGAAAAATTATGCAAAAATATAAAAACTTAGCGTTTGCCTAATTTGAAAATGAATAAAACAACGAAGAAAATGAAAAAAAAAATGATGTTTTATTTATTATTATTATTATTTTAATTATGCAAAAATATAAAAGCCTGTTGGTTTTTAATGAATTGTTCAGAAAAATTACAAATTGGTTTACAAAAAAACGTCTGAAATATATTTTACAGGACATGGAAGGTACATTAGCTGATCGCTGAAGCAATATTTTTCAGTAATACAATTTGTAAATAGATAAAGAAGTGACATAGAGAAAAAAAGATTTAATTTACAGTTCCCATCATTTCTGTCTTGTTAAAAAAAATAACACGTTTTAGTGGCACGCAACCAACTACACATCTAGTAAATAAAACAGTAGATTGTGATTAAAATATTTAATATGTTAGCCTTATAATTGTAAAAGTTATGTTTCTGTTGGCCCCAAGGCCCCAACATAGTTATAATCAAAACCAACAGCCAGTGTGGCCACTACAATAATAACTAAAAGATAATTTAAAAAGTGGTGTGCCGGCATCCAGTTATGCATTTTGTGAAATTGTGAAAAAGATAAAAGTTTTTGTCACCAAACATTGCGTTATTAATCATTCAATGGTTGGGATTAAAACTATGCAATAGTTAGGTATTATTAGAAGAAATAATGATTCAGAACGTATAAAACAACAATTTATTATTATAAAATTGACAATCGTCCTGAAGAAGCAATTTTTTGATGTCAAAACATCTACAAATGATGTGAATAAACTGTATAAAAAACTTACTTAAAAAAATCTGCTACAATTAACAAAATTTATTGTCAACTTCGTTCATGTGAATTAATAAAACTTAAAAAAATACAATGAAATAATAAAAACAAAATAGTTGATATAAAAAACACATATTTCGCACACATTACTTTGGTATGTTTAAGTAACTAATATCACATTAATTCAGAATTCATAAAAAAAAGTTTTGATTGAAGCAAGTGCCGAGAATATTACAATAAGAATATCAAAATTGGATTACAACCTCGTGGCCTCCGAACTAGTCGATACAACATTTTTGGAGGGCCTCCTCGCGCTGTAGTACCCAAAATTAGGGTCGGTGGGACTCACGCTGATACTCTGTCTCGGACTTTGAAAAAATCGCGTCTCGGAAGTGTCATGACCGGGCGAAGAACCCTCAAGACACTCATTGGAGTCCGAAAGGGCCTCGTTGGAGTACTTGGGTACGGAAAGAAGACTCTCGGTGGATTTGTTGGGTTGGAAGTACCTTCGATGGGTGTGAGGGGTGTATTGTGGTTGGTTGTGTTTGTCCACACGGACGTACTGAGTACTTTGATTTTTCTGAGAGCGGCTTTTGGGACACTTGGTGTCCAAGTAGCCGTAACCAAAACCGTAGCCCCCAAAGGCCTTAGTGGTGAGGTTGTCCCACGATTTGGGCTTCACGGTGGTGTACTGGACGTAAACTGGGTCATGAGAATGCGTCTGGGTGTATCTGAAACACAAATTTTGTAAAAATTACGCAATTGTAATCACACGTGTGTATAACTGGTTGCCTAACTATAAATTATTTTTTTTTGTACCTTTGTTGATGGTCATGTTTGGAGGCTGATTTAACGCTCATCTGCCTCGAGGCGCTCATTTCGTCCCAGTAGAGCGTGTCAGTGCTCAAGGAGGTGGTGTAGCTGGTGGAGCTCTCCCCCATGGTGGTGGGGGCCACAGCGCTCAATTCGCTGGAGGTGCACGAGTGAAGACTGCATTGGCTGACTAGACCAGTCCCGAAATGGAAGTATCTCCTCGGAACGGAGAAATTCTGTTGTGTGGTGGAATGTGGTCGAGATCGTTGTTGTTGAGGGTCAGTTTGGGTTTCCTCAGTCTTTGAATCTCTCTTTCTGTGGTCTTTGCGCGAACGGCGACGACTTGATGGCACACAGTGAGGATCACAGCAAGGACTTGCCAAATCGTAAGCTTCCAGACTGGTGTTATCGGCGTTATTCCCAGACTGCATACAAGGGTTGCACAAGTGTCCAGTCTGGACCTTTTTCGGTTTTTCCCCCCCATTCCCGTGGGTTTGGTTCCCCCGATTTTGCTTCTGGGGCACATCACATGGTGTTTTGACGATAAAATGGTGTTGGTCTCCGCGGTAGCGCGAGGGTTCGAGAGTTAGCAAATATTCGCCACTACTGGAGGCCGAAGGCTGGAGCATATACCGATAATGGGGGTCTAAGTACTGATAAGCGAATATCAAAGGAGGATTTTGCTGTTTTTGTTGGACTTTTGCCACATCTTCCGTCGACACAGTCGGTCTACAATACGAGTACGCGGCTTGAGTGGGAGTCGGGGGATCCCCATTATTCCCACTTTGCGAAGCCTTCTTCCGTGCTGGCAGACTATGCGTCTTCCATTTACCCTCCAAAAGCTGTCTTTCGCGAATACACAACTTCTCCAATTCCGACATTTTGCTCTGGAGGACGCGTTGAAGTTGGATATAACGCATATGCAACTCCACCTATGAAAAAAAATAAATCAGTGATTCCGAACTTAAGTTGGCACCATTGAAACTTGCCAACTTACCTTCCGAACACAGTCCTCAAACAGCACCACCATCCTCATCCTGGTGTCACAATTTTTGATAAAATTAACCAAAGTCTTGTGATCCGCCTTCTCCATATCAGTGCCATTGATGGATAAAATGACATCGCCCTCCCTCATACCGGCCCTGTAAGCGGGCCCATCGTAGTCCACATAGTCCACATAAGTGATCATTTCGATTTCTTGCTCCTTCTTGTAGTGGATTCCGTAGCTTTGAAGAGTGAAACCGTACGAACCATTCTTCTTCTCAACGATGATGGTACGTCTTCGACGATCCTCTTCCGGCTTGGTTACCGTCACTCGGTCCGATTGCACGCGCTCCAAAATCTGGGACTGCAACGATAAAAAAAATATTTACCCGCCACTGGTTTTTGTTACAACGTATAGATTTCCATAGCAACGTATTTTGTAACCATGACAATTGACATTTTTGACGTTTTTCGTACCACAGTCGACTCGGCAAGGATAGAAAAAAGGGTTAAAAAAATCAATTTCGAATTAGTTTCATGAGTGTTTCTTGTTTTTCCTATTATGATAAGATTTCAATTATATAATGTTAACTTTTTTTGTCATGTTTTGAAGAATCTTGTAAATCAAGACTTGAGGCTAATTATTATTAATACCTAATGGATTAGTAATTACATTTGCATTATTGTTTACGTTTCAAGTATGACATTGTTTGAATAAATGACTGGTCAAGCTATTGTTTATTCATTCCATTAATGGTAAAACGGTTTAGAGAAGCGCCCAATATCCGGTAATTCTATTCCATATTTGATGGGCGATAATGTTTCCGGTGGGAGACATGTTTTCGATTATTTATGATTTGTTGTTATTTTTGTGCTAATTTTCACATTTGTGGGTCATAGAAAGTCTTTTGCTTCTTTCGGAAACGGATAAAAAAGACTAAGGAATAGGAAAAAGAAAGATAAAATATGAAAATTCAAATTCCATTACAAAAACTGAAGAGAAAATTGAACCTTCTTGCTTAGTTTTTTTTTTTTCAAAATTTTAATTATTTTTAAAGGTGTTTAATTCATTCCTGAAAGTAACAAATTATAAAAATAAACAAGAATTTAATTAAATGATTATTTGGTGACATTTGACCTTTTATAGAAACAGTTAAAGCTATTAAAGTTAATAAAGGGCACACACCTTGAAATTTTCGAATTTTAATAAATAAATAAATTATTAATGAAATAAATAAATAAAACACAAAGTTGAAAATAAACAAAGCGTAGCACAATATTTGCAAAATATAAACATTGCAATTATCAAACAAAAAAGTGCAACACATTAAACAAGTAATTAGAAATGACATTGACATACTAGTCCCCAACATTCTACTACAATTTTCATTTTTCACCTTATCTCGCCCCAAATTTCCCCTAAAACCTTGAAAAAAAATAATGAGTCACGACTTACTTGCGAAGAAGTGCAGTCATCATCGCTATGTTCGATTTGCAATTGCGATTGACTCTGTTGTTGTTGTCTCCTCATTTTCGCACACACTCATCGCCGCACGACTAAACCATTTTGGAAACAGCTGTTCGATAACGGCCACCGTGACGCCTACCGTCGCGACGCCGACGCCGCCATTTTGCGCACGCTTCCACTACGAGCCACTTTCAAACTGACTTCCACCACTTATTTCGAGAGGGGGGACAATTATTATTATTGTGGTCGGAGTCCGAGAAAAATGCCTTATCAGAGCTAAATTTCCTTATTGAGCACGCGGTTTCATAATGTTAGGACAGCTGCTGTTTACGAATAAATGATACAGAAAAAAATTGTTATTCAAATAAATTTTTAAATAAAATAACTGACGGTGTTTCAATACAGGGTGTTTCCCATAATTTTACGAGGCCTGCGCCTGTAAGATGCAATCAATAATACATATTAGATACGAGTTCGATTACAAATTTTGAAAAATTGAATTATTTTCTCTAGTTTGTTCACCCTTTAAAAAATTACGTTTTTAGTTAGTTAGTTATTAAGATAGATAAACTAGAATCATATTCATTAAATAGTTAGAAGTGTATTTTTTGTATCTAGTGTTTTGTGACTTTTGTATATTTGGGTGCGTACATTAGGCGCAAGCCTTGTTAAGTTATATGAAACCCCTGTATTATATATTATTTGATTTTTTCCAAAAAAAATATTATTAGTTAACCACAATTACGCGTGTGTTTATATAGTCGCATGCTTAATTACTATCAATTAAACAAATTGAATAAATTAAATCTAAAAGTGTTTCAAGATTAAAATAACTGTACGACATATTATTATTATTATATATTTTTGTGCAAAAAATATTTGTTATTTAACTACAATTACGAGTCTGTATATATAGTTGCATAACCTTACTATATTTATTAGCCGAAAAAAAATAATTTTTGTTTTTTTAATTACGTGTGAATTTTTTTTGTTACTTTAAAATAAAAATTTATTTTTTGCTAAACATTAGCTTATTTCACTTAAGCAAACAAACAATTTTAGATTTGGGTCTAAAATAACATTGTTCTTGTTTTTTTTCCAAACGTTTTATTATGTTTTTTTAAGCCAGAACCTTTTTTGTTGCGTGCAAACTTGTCACACTTATTAAATTTGTTTAAAGTTGACGTAATTTAAGCTTCGTTCTAAACTTTTTAGTAGAATTTTACAACACAATTTTTTTCACTTATTTAATAATTATTTTAATTTTGTTTTTTTAAATTTTAAACACATGTACAGTTGCGGAATTAAAATTTCGGGCAGTACTTTTTTGGTACTTTAAAAAGTTCACTGCAAACTACCCTTTACTGTCATCATGACTGACATTTGATTAATTGTCATTTTTGTTGTTGTTAAAATTGGTAATTAAATAATTTGTCTCTCTTAGAAAATTTATTAATTAAATTAAGTGCAATTAAATCATCGCTTTGATCTGCTGCCTACCCGTTATTATGCCTCAAATCACTATTTTTGAAAGTAAATAAGTCAAAATGACATAAACATGACAAGAGTAAAAAATGAGGTTATTAATGTAAAGGTTGTTTATGAAAATGACAATTCTGCCCGAAATTTTAATTCCGTAACTGTACCTAATAATTATATACACCGTAATAAAAAATAACTAATTTATTAGACTGTAGAAAAAAATGTTAAATAATCGCAATTACGCGGTTGTATGTTTGGTTGCATACCTACCTTTCCATTCATTTAAAAATTTATCTTAATTGTGTTAAAAATAACGTTATTTTAACTTTCTGCAAGAATTTATTTGAAATGACAAAAAAACCGCTTAATTCAGACCAAAAATGACAGTATTTTTTTAACAAAAAAAACACCCTCATTTTTGCTTCGGTATTTTCCAAAGTAATTAAATAATAAGACAATCAAACATTTATTTAGATCTTATTAGCTATATACAAAAAAAAATTAAAAAAACAGTCGTTTCGAGAGCGACCCCCCCTCAACTGCATCCAGCAGCTTCCTCTTCAAAGTAGGCCTCTCCATCTGCGTTTTTCTGATATTTTGCGGTAGAGGCAATTTGGACCCCGGCGTGGGGGCTGGCTTATTACTAAAAAACGGCATGGCCAAACACCTGCTACACTCAAACCGCTTCAACGGATTCAACACTAGAAGTCCCTCGAGAACATCGAGCAAATCATCACCGGCGGCCGTGAAAATATTCTTCAATGGAATGGGCGTAAAAGGCTTAAATTCGACATAATCCGACAAACTCTTCAATCCGGGCCAATTCTCCTCGGTGGGGTTCCCAAAAACGGCAAAAATTTTAGTCAACTGGTCCAAATCGGACTCTCCGGGAAACAGCGGGACTCGGAGAAGGAGCTCGGCGAGGATGCACCCCACGGCCCACATATCCACCCCCGTGCTGTACAGCCTCGCCCCGAAAAGCAACTCCGGCGACCTGTACCACCTAGTGACCACCTGGTGGGTGTTAATCCTGTTCGGCGAGCCGTAGAGCTTCGCTAAACCAAAATCCCCGATTTTGAGCACTCCATTTCCGTTCACCAGGAGGTTGTTGGGTTTGAGGTCGCGGTGCAGGATCCAATTGCGGTGCAAATAGTCCAAACCTTGCAATGTTTGGATTGTGTAAGCTTTAATGTTTCCGGTGGTGAGGATAATTGTGTTGTCTTTGATGATCACCTCCAAGTCGGTGTCCATGAAATCGAACACGAGAGACACGTTGGACATGTGCCCGAAGACGTCCAAAAGCCCGATCACATTGCGGTGGTGGAGTTCTTGCAGTAATTTAATCTCGCGAAGAGCTGTTCGGTTTATACCGTCTTGGGCCTCCTGCCGACTCCCCATTTTGATTTTTTTCACGGCGACTATGTTGTCGGTTTCCACGTCGCGGGCCTTGTACACAGTGGCAAACTGACCCTCGCCGAGAAACTCGATTTTTTCATAACGGGTTAGTTTGTTCGACATTTTTATCACATTATTTCAAAATTACCGGTTTAAGGTTATGTTTATACTGTTGTTTTGTGACAAACAAGGCTACCAACATTTGCAATATTGCAATTTGAAGTGTTTAAATAATAAAAATTAATAAAATTACAACAAAAATGTTCTTGAGTTGTCTTTGTGGTTGTAATAAAGTAATAACAGAAACAATTAAGTAATTCATAAAATGAAATAAAAAATTCTATCAAAAAAAGCGCCACCTATTCTTGACATTTGACAGTTAATCTTGACAGATTTTCTGTCCATCAATTGTCAAGAAAAGCGTGTAAATCGAAAAAAATCATCTAGAAGTGACCACTTTTTGCTAAAATGGTAAGTAGTGTGGTTAATTATCACCACAATTCGCCCCCAGAATTGTAAAATACCGTATTTATTGCCCTTTTGCGTGACATACTGCTCACTTAACCCTAACCTCAAACTTCAATCATGGAAGCTTATTTTGCTAGAATAATCGACTAATTTGAAATTTCCTCCGCAGAAACCCCTTTTGCTCCACGGCCACGAGCGTGCCATCACGCAAATTAAGTACAACCGCGAGGGTGACCTCCTCTTCTCATCCTCGAAGGATAATAAACCCAACGTCTGGTACTCGCTCAACGGCGAGCGCTTAGGGACTTTTAACGGCCACCAGGGGGCTGTGTGGTGCATCGACGTCGACTGGACCACAACAAGATTCCTTTCAGGTGCCGGCGACAACACCCTCAAAGTTTGGGATTGCGAAACTGGCAAGGAAATCGGGAATATCACAACCAACTCCTCCGTAAGGACTTGTCTCTTCAGCTACTCGGGGAATATGGCCGTGTACACCACCGACCGAGCCCTCAAACACAACTGCGAGATTTTCATAATCGACGTGCGTAACGTCGACGAGAGTATTTCGCACGCGGACCCCATTTTGCGAATCCCGATTAAAGGGTCCCGAGTCTCGTCGATCCTGTGGGATAACCTGGACGAAACGATAATAACCGGGCATGAAAGCGGGGATTTGATCAAGTGGGACTTGAAATCGGGCAAGGAGATAAGTTCCACCACCCGCGAACACGAGCAACAAATCAATGATATGCAGTGGAATAAAGATGGGACGATGTTTGTCACGGCGTCGAAAGACCACACAGCGAAACTCTTCGACGCCGCTGATTTGATGTTACTCAAGACGTACAAGACGGAACGACCGGTGAATTCGGCGGCGATTAGCCCCATTTTTGAGCATGTGGTAGTGGGCGGGGGGCAGGATGCGATGGATGTCACGACGACTTCGGCAAGAGTTGGGAAATTCGACTCCAGGTTCTTCCATATGGTGTTTGAGGAGGAGTTTGGGAGGGTTAAGGGGCACTTTGGGCCTATTAATAGTGTGGCGTTTCATCCTGATGGCAAGAGTTATAGCTCGGGGGGCGAGGATGGCTATGTGAGGGTGCACAATTTCGATTCGTCGTATTTTGAGTATAATTTCGATTATTAAAATAATTTTTTTATAAATAGTTTTACTTTCTTCTTTTTCCTCCAAGGTCATTGTCTTTTGATTTCATACTCGACCCAATCATATAAAAAGGTTCTTTGTCCTACGATAACTATTTTTTTTAGTATTGTTACATTAAACTACAAAATTACAGTTTTCAAAAACTATTTACTCTACCCTCCCGTAGATGGCACATCTCGAGCGAATTCCATAAAGTCCCATCTAGGGACTTTACAATTCCAAAATATACCACCGAAAATAAATCAAAAAATTCTTCCGTACAGTTTTTTTATAAAATGATAAAATGGCCAAAAATAGAGGTTTAATAAAGTTATTTTTAAACGGCACGGACAAAAAATTTCAAATTAGTATAAATTGCTGCTAAAGCTATAAAAACATTATAGTATTCTTTTCAGAATTTTTGAACTACGATTAATTTTTTTATTCAGTATAGTTCAACCTTTACGAACTGTTTTGGATTACCTTACAGACTGTGTTAAATAAAAATTTCACCACCTACATGTAATTTTTAGATACAAATATTTGCAAAAATATTAGTTTTACTCTGGTTTTACTTAATCACATCCTTTATATTCTTTATAACAACAAAATATGATAAATTAACTTCTAGCAAAGTTATTCTAATAATGAGCTAATTGCATAATTAACGAAAATTCCTTGATGTACTTTCATACAGTTCTGCCAATTTATTTCAGGAAATTTTCCCAAAATTAGCTTCAAAACATCAGACTGTTATGTAATCTCAGACTTGTACCATGTTTTTTTTTTAAATATTTGGTGAAACAATTTTAATTTTTTTCCAGGAAATGGCTCTTTGCACTTGCTTTCATCCTGACCCTTTGATTATGAGTGTTTATGGACGTTTTATTGGATATGAAAAGAAAAGGAAATAAAAACAATTTGTTAAATAAGTTGCCTGTGCATGGCCCTTCGAAATTAAGTTGGCAACGTTGGCTAGTATGGCCGTCACCTGCAACAATCTCAATGTTGCCAAATTAATTTAAAGTCATTGCCATTTTCATATACTCCACTTTTTATTTTTGTTTGTCGTGTTGTCACCTTTTATGAACCGATTTTTAAAAAGATTAGTTTTTTAATTTGCCAATTTTTTCCAAATTTTTAATTACATAATTATTAATTAATTTCAAATTCAGAATCGAATATCTGATAATAAAAAATGAAAAAAAAAATCATTAAATTAACGGAATAACTACTTCGAACTTTCCTTAATTGGTGGGAAATTCTTCCTGGAAACATTTGTAGAACTAGTTTTAGTTTCTTGTAATTACGTTTCATGACTGAAACGATTTCGTAAATTGGATCTCCAATCCACAATAATTGCAAAAAGGACTGAATTTTCCGACAGTTTCGGAAAAACCCACCCTTCGAGATGTTATTCCCCAATATTGAAGTCAAACGATTCCAAAGTTAAAACAACGTAATTGGTGTCCCCCAACTAACTAAATTTTTGTAGCAAAGGCCAAAGACCCTCTGCATTTCCTCTACGCCTCAACATTCGGACTTTTCCGCTTGAAATTCATCAAATTTGTAGCGATTTTCACGTTCGTTTTTCACAGTGTCATAAGTGTTGCATTTTTTTCTGAAATATTGTACACTTTCGACGCTAATCTATTGATTCGATACGGACCCCTGATCTTCATTTTTAGCAATGTAAAAATTCTTGATTTCATTTTAAGTTTGTTAAATTTTTTTTAGGGCGTCATGGCCGTCGCTGTCTTTTTTTACCTCGAACGTGACGGTAGATTAATACTAAGACAAGGTATTGGCCGTCTTTGGAGTTTTGACTCTTCGTCAAATTTGTACAAAAGGATAAATTTGGAATCAAAGTATATTTTACAAGCCGTTTATTTTAATAATTTCCTAGCGGCTTGTTTGGTGTTTTTCCTCTTGCCAGCAGGGGGGCAAAGCGATAAGGTTCTTTATGGGATTAACTTATTTGGACGATTTTTGCCATCACAAAGAAAAATTTTGACTCAAATTTATTACTGCACTCTTCCTGTTCTCGCATACATGGTGACTGTTAATCCTTATCTCCTACTTTATGGATCCTCTCACATCAAGTTTCAAGTTTGTTATATGAACGAATTGTTGGTAAAGATGGCTCGTCAGTATAAAGACATCGATTACAACTTATTAAGAAATGAGAAATACCAAAAAAACGTGACCTTGAATCTCAAAAATTGCATCCGCCGACATACAATTTTGAAATAGTTTGTATTTTTATTATTTTACAGGGTGGAGCGGAAAAAATTGTAATAGTGTGGCAATTTTGCGCTCCACCGCGTATAAACTTGCATTTACTAATTCTTTTGAAGCATGGATACAAAATTGAACAATTTGATTCGTTTTCCACTTTTAGTCGTGATGGGTCTATCGGTAGTTTTCTTAATATCTCTGCTTTTTCTTCTCATTGTTGTAGGTTAAACAAATATCAAAAAAAAAATTTTAACACTTTTTTTAGTCCAGAGAAGATGTTTACATTCCCAGTTTTGGGGCCATTTTGGCTTTTGGTACTGTCACCAATATTTTGGCTGTATATTCGGGTCAAGAAATTATAAATGAGGTGCTTTGAACGAATTTAATCAATTTTGTATAATCAAATTTTTAGTCTTTAAAATGTCTAACTTGTGCGGGGACTTCTCGTTGGACTTCTTGGAATTTTTCGAATCGAAAAATGTTGGTTATCCTGATGACCAATGCTCAGAAGCCTTTTATAATCCAAAGTCCTTTTTTCGTGTTCGATTTTGCGTTTGTTATTAAAGTAAGTTTAGTGGAATTTTGGAAATTTAGTATTTTTTTGTCTAGGCTTTGAAATTTGTTTCGTCGGTTTGTGGTCTTTTCTTCGAAGTGGCGAGGAGGAGGGATTTGGGGGAGTTGTAAAGTGATGTTTACCGCTTAGTATAATTTAGTTGTAGTAAATAATAAAAGTTTTGAACTATACAGCGTGTTCCAAAAATTAGTTACAATACAAACTTGTGATTTTTAAATAAAACAATTTATGTTTCTTTGCATTTTTGGATGCAGTTTTTTATTACAATGTTTTTAAGCCAAATTTTTATTAGTCGATTTTGCCTAGTTTTTGTAAAAAGTTGCTTTTTCTTGCCTTTTCTGGCCCTTCAAAATTAAGATGGCAACATTGGCTAGTATAGCCGTCACCTGCAACAATCTCAATGTTGCCAAATTAATTTAAAGTCATTGCCATTTTCATCTACTCCACTTTTTATTTTTGTTTGTTGTGTTTTCACCTTTTATGAAGCGATTTTTAAAAAGCTTAGTTTTTTAATTTGCCTATTTTTTTCAAATTTTTAATTACATAATTATTAATTAATTTCAAATTCAGAATCGAAAATCTGATAATAAAAAATGAAAAAAAAATCAGTAAATTAACCAAATAACTAGGTGCTTCGAACTTTCTTTGTTTGCTGGGAAATACTTCCTGGAAACATTTTTAGAACTAGTTTTAGTTTCTTGTAATTACGTTTCATGACTGAAACGATTTCGTAAATTGGATCTCCAATCCCCAATAATTGCAAAAAGGACTGAATTTTCCGACAGTTTCGGAAAAACCCACCCTTCGAGATGTTATTCCCCAACACTGAAATCAAACGATTCCAAAGTTAAAACAACGTAATTGGTGTCCCCCAACTAACTAAATTTTTGTAGCAAAAGCCAAAGACCCTCTGCATTTCCTCTACGCCTCAACATTCGGACTTTTCCGCTTGAAATTCATCAAATTTGTAGCGATTTTCACGTTCATTTTTCACAGTGTCATAAGTGTTGCATTTTTTTACGAAATGTTGTACACTTTCGACGCTAATCTACTGATTCGATACGGACCCCTGATCTTCATTTTTGGCAATGTAAATTTTTTTAAATTCATTTTAAGTTTGTTAAATTTTTTTTAGGGCTTCATGGCCATCGTTGTCTTTTTTTACATCGAACGTGACGGTAGATTAATACTAAGACAAGGTATTGACCGTCTTTGGAGTTTTGAGTCTTCGTCAAGTTTGTACAAAAGAACAAATTTGGAATCAAAGTATATTTTACAAGCCGTTTATTTTAATAATTTCCTAGCGGCTTGTTTGGTGTTTTTCCTCTTGCCAGCAGGGGGGCAAAGCGATAAGGTTCTTTATGGGATTAACTTATTTGGACGATTTTTGCCCTCACAAAGAAAAATTTTTACTCAAATTTATTACTGCACTCTTCCCGTTCTCGCATACATGGTGACTGTTAATCCTTATCTCCTACTTTATGSATCCTCTCACATCAAGTTTCAAGTTTGTTATATGAACGAATTGTTGGTAAAKATGGCTCGTCAGTATAAAGACATCGATTACAACTTRTTAAGAAATGAGAARTACCAAAAAAACGTGACCTTGAATCTCAAAAATTGCATCCGCCGACATACAATTTTGAAATAGTTTGTATTTTTATTATTTTACAGGGTGGAGCGGAAAAAATTGTAATAGTGTGGCAATTTTCCGCTCCACCTCGTATAAACTTGCATTTACTAATTCTTTTGAAGCATGGATACAAAATTGAACAATTTGATTCGTTTTCCACTTTTAGTCGCGATGGGTCTATCGGTAGTTTTCTTAATATCTCTGCTTTTTCTTCTCATTGTTGTAGGTTAAACAAATATCAAAAGAAACATTTTTAACTCTTTTTTAGTCCAGAGAAGATGTTTACATTCCCAGTTTTGGGGCCATTTTGGCTTTTGGTACTGTTACCAATTTTTTGGCTGTATATTCGGGTCAAGAAGTTATAAATGAGGTGCTTTGAACGATTTTAATCAATTTTGTATAATCAAATTTTTAGTCTTCAAAATCTCTAACTTGTGCGGGGACTTCTCGTTGGACTTCTTGGAATTTTTCGAATCGAAAAATGTTGCTTATCCTGATGACCAATGCTCAGAAGCCTTTTATACTCCAAAGTCCTTTTTTCGTGTTCGATTTTGCGTTTGTTATTAAAGTAAGTTGAGTGGAATTTTGGAAATTTAGTATTTTTTTGTCTAGGCTTTAAAGTTTGTTTCGTCGGTTTGTGGACTTTTCTTCGAAGTGGCGAGGAGGAGGGATTTGGGGGAGTTGTAAAGTGGTGTTTACCGCTTAGTATAATTTAGTTGGAGTAAATAATAAAAGTTTTGAACTATACAGCGTGTTAAAAGTTAGTTACAATACAAACATGTGCTTTTTAAATAAAACAATTTATGTTTCTTGGCATTTTTGGATGCAGCTTTTTATTAGTGTTTTTAAGCCAAATTTTTATTAGTCGATTTTGCCTAGTTTTTGTAATAAGTTGTTTTTTTCTTTACCAACTTTACCAATACCCTGAGACACCCTGTATATTGCCATGGCAATATACTACTTGACAAGAAAATCATTATAATTTATAACGAACGAGGTAATTGTCGTAACAACACAAAAAAGTTCCAACCAAAATCAGTAAAACCCCCAAAATAGTATCTAAAAAAAAACAATAATAAATAAAGCTTCTTTCTGTACACTGTAAAAATCTTACTCTTTTTAGGAGGCTCTTCTCCCAAAATAAAACCAGACACTGCTGTAAACACAAATGTGAGTGAATTAGCCACAGGGACAGCTAATGACAAATCAGCCCTCTGTAACGTTAAGAAATAAAGTATGGACCCTAGCTGATTAAGCGCCATTGGTATCAAATACTGAAAAAAAAACAAGAAAATTCAAAAATGTGAAAAATAAATAAACTAACTCGAGTATTTGTCAGTAGATATTTTAATTCTAACAAAAATTGTTTTATTGCAGAATCCGCCTTGATGGTTGTGATATCTTTTGAGTTTTTTTTCAAAAAAGGATTGGTCCCGCCCCATAGTATGGCCACGCAAATGAGACACACTGTAGGACAAAAAAATTTCAAATTGACAAACAGGGATGCAAACCTTAAAAAATTAAGCACACTATACTCATTCACTGAGTTTACCTGCTTCGAAAATCATTGCAAGTCGATGAAATAATGAATTTTTTGGTAAATTCTAGCGGAACATTTTTATTATTAAAGATTAACCTCAAAAAATTACCTGTCAAAAATACCAACTGCACAAAATAAAAATCGCAAATTTTCTCTTATAATATAATTTATTTATGTACAATTCATAATTCATCCGCGTTTCCTGTTGGAAATACACTGGTTAATAACCTGAATCAAGTAAGGATTTTCCAAAGCCGCTGCAACTCTCTCTTTATCCGCCAGTTGCTTATTTACAGAATTTTCCGCATTATGTGTCCCTTTGGTGACCTCCACCCTCACTTTGAATCTAGCCGGTAAACATCGGAGCAATTTAACCCGAATTGAAAGCCCAATTAATGTGGCCATACTACAATGTGGTATAGTTGGAGTAAAATTAACAAAAATCGTATTATTTGCATTGTCAACTTGAATCAAGCTTTCTTGGACGACGTGGAGCTCTTCTAGAGTCAGGGGGTGCTCCGGATCCGTAATATTTCTAATCAAATCTAAAATAAAACAGTTATTAATTATTTTCTGAGGTTATGTTTGCTGACCGAAAATCTCTCGGGGGTCGAATTCGTCTACGACATTATCGTCTTGTTCTTCAGCTGTGATTAGTCGGTCACTGGTTTTGTTATAAATGTTTGGGTTTTCGTTTTCAAGCTGTTCAAGACGCATTTTTTTAAATGGAATGTGAATTCCCTGAAGTGTCAAAATGTAGAAGTGTCAACTTAATAATTGATGCAGGCAACCAGTTTTACAAAAGTGTTATTAAAGTTGGTTAAAACCAATTCCAATTCCTTGGTTCATTTTCAGTTATTTTTGAAACACATGGGATGATCACACTGGAATTAAAATTTTGGGCATTTTCATAATCTAAACTCTAAAACAACCTTTACATTAATAACCCCATTTTTTACTCTTGTCATGTTTGTCATTTTGACTTACATTTTTACTTTCAAAAATAGCGTCACCGACAGAAAAGTTTGATTGCCAAATGTCAGTCATGATGGCAATAAAAGGTAGTTTACAATGAACTTTTTGAAGACAGACAGAGGACAGAAAAATACTGCCCGAAATTTTAATTCCGCAACTAAACTCATATGTCGTAATATCTATTTTCACTCAATTCTGTTTATTTTTTCAATTTTTTGTAACGTTTATATTAAAAAGTACCACAGGTGTTTCAGTTAAAATTTTCTTCTTTATTGCTAACCTTATTCCTAACAATTTTTTTACATTAGTAGTTAGCAAATGTCCAAAAATAGACAGTTTTATTCATGTAATCAAAAAAATCTACCGGTGTCCGAGAAAAGCAAATTTAAAATAATTTCAAAACTCCAAAAACATCCAAATTCTGTCAACTGCGATTGAATTCAAAATATTTGTACAACTAAATCGAAATCAAAAGCTGTTAAATATCAATAATTATAAAAATAATAATAGTAATAATAATTATTATTAT